ATGCTGCTGCTGAAGAGAAGAATGTCATCCACGTAGACCAGAAACAGCACCAGCTTCTCCCCCTCGCCCTTGAGAAAGAGGCTCTCATCACAGCTGCTGGTCCTGAATCCCATCTCCTCTAAAACAGCTGCCAACTTCTGGTACCAGCAGCGTGGCGCCTGCTTCAAGCCGTAGATGGACTTGTTGAGCTTGCACACCCTGCCCGTACCATCCTCATACCCAGGCGGCTGCGTCATGTACACATCCTCCTCTAAAATCCCATTCAGGAATGCCGTTGAAATATCCATCTGAATGATGAATTTCCCACTAACAGCTGCATCTGCCAACAAGACACGGAGGGTAGGGGGTTTGGCAGTGGGAGCAAAGATCTCGTTGAAGTCCTGCTTCTCCTTCTGCATAAACCCCTTCGCCACCAGCCTACTCTTGTAGATGGTGACCTGCCCCTTGTCATCGGTCTTGATCCTCAGCACCCACTTGCATTGTATCGCTTTCTTCCCATCAGGCAGCACCACCAGATTCCATGTCCTATTCTCCAGCAGACTCTGGTACTCAGCATCCCTAGAAGCCAGCCACTTGTCCCTATCTGGTCCAACTAATGCCTCCTCCATGCTAGCTGGTTCCTCTGGTGCAGGGGCAAGAAAGCAGTACGCAGGCTCGTCCTCCTCATCCGGGTCATAGCCATGCGGTAGAATCAGCAATGCCTCTTCGGTCCCTAGCTGCTGCTCTGCTGCATCAGTTCCTGCAGTCAGCTTCTTAGTAGCCATACGGGTACGTCCTGGCCTGGAGACGGGTGTCTCCCATCCCTTCATAACGACACCCTTCGGCTTCTTAGTTTTTCCCTGCTGCTGCTCTCCTCCCTTGGATCCAGCAGCTTCACTAGTGCTGCCGCCACTTTCCACACCTTTTTCTCCACCAGCAGATGCCTCCTGTACCTTCTCTCCATCACCATTTCCAGCAGCTGCCTCCTCTCCCTCCTCCCACACACTAGGAGTCAGGTCCAGCTGCATGGTGATCTGCTCCATCTGCTGGGACACCCTTGCCTCCGGCTGTTTCTCCCAGCTCCCATACATCATGCCCTCAATGAATTTCACATCCCTGCTGTCAAACAACACACCCTTGGATGGTTCCCACAGCAGCCATCCCTTGCTCTCAGCAGCCAGCCCCAAATGCACACACCAGATTGCACTCGCCCCCAACTTACTGCGGTAGGTCTTGGGGACGTGGGCGACTGCCATGCAACCGAACACCCTCAGCATGTCCACCGGCGGCTTCCTCCCAAGCCACCTCTCCAACGGCACCCACGAGTCATCCCCAACCTTGGTGAGCACCCTGTTCCTAGCGACAGTGGCGTGCCGGACAGCATGAGGCCACATAGAATTGCTCAGCCCAGATTCTATGAGCAGCGCCCTAGCTGTCTCCAGAATGGTCCGGTTTGCCCGTTCTGCTACACCATTGGACTGTGGGGTATAAGCTGTGGTCAGCTCTCTCTGGATGCCCTGCTTCTTGAGCCAGGCCGTCATTTCAGCTCCAAGGAACTCACCACCCCGGTCTGTCCTAATCCGCTTCACTACACACTCCGCCTGCTTCTCCACGAATGGCAGCCAATCGTCCCGTATCGTGGAGGCGGCGTGGTCCTTCTGCTTCAGCGGATACGCCCACATCAGCCTGCTCCAGTCATCCACAATTGTAAGAAAATACCGCTCCCCCTTGTGCCCTTGCACCGGCAGCGGCCCCACCAAGTCCATGTGGACCAGCTCCAAAGGCTTCTTGCTCCTGCCAGCCACACTATGGAAAGGGAAACGGGTGAACTTTGAAAGCAAACAGATTTCACAGTTGTCATCGGGTGGCTGTCCGTTCAGCTTCAGACCCTTAACGGCTCCATCCTTCTCCAGCTGCTTCAGCAAAGGCATTGCCACATGCCCTAAGCGCCGGTGTGCCGTTGCCCAATCTGTCTCCCCAGATCTGGCCGACACTTTCACACCAACCCCTCCAACGGCATTGCACTCCCCCTGGGATGCAGACCCCTCTCCAGCCTGCCCCCCACCATGCCACGCCAGGGCCGGCAGCTGCCACATAGATCTGTACACGTCCTTGCTCTCGTGCAGATCCCAAAGCACCCGATTGCCCAGCTTCCCCTTATAAGTGCGTGCCCCATCCGTGTTGGTGTTCACCCCAGCCTTGCCAAGCTTACGGAGGGAGATAAGGTTGGCCTTCAGGTCGGGGACGAAGAGAACGTCGTGCAGCACCACCGGCTTGCCATCCGCTCCCTTAAACGCAGCTCGTCCCGCACCAGCCACCTTCAACATGTGTCCAGAGGCGGAGCACACTTCATTGATCGGTGCAGCTCGTACTTCGTCCAGCAGGTCCTTGCGCGGCGTCATCGTCCAAGCAGCGCCTGTGTCCAACACCCAATAGTCTAGGGGGTGCAGCTCTGCTCCAACTTTGGCAGAGGCGTCTCCTTGCTCCCCCTTGTCTCCCACATGGAAGAATTGGCCCGCGGTGCGCTCCTTCTTCTTCTCCGCACCGCCGTTGCCCTTCGGGTTGTTGTCGGACGAATCAGCGACCATGTTGGCGCCGTTTTTCTGGTTCCTCCGCGCGCCGCCATCCTGGTGACGATTCTGGGGGGTCCATCCATCGGGTTTCTTATAGCACAAAAACCAGGGGTGCCCTTCCTTCTCACAATACCAGCAACTCCCTTTCATTTTGCCACCAGCACCCGACTTGCCCCCACGTCCAGATTTCGCACCGCGACCCCAACCGGTACCTCCTTGTTGGTCGTTGGAGTCGTCGTCTTTCTTTGCACCGCGTCCAGCACCACCGAAGCCACGTCCTCTGCCACGTCGGCTCCCTTGCATCCCGTAGCCGCTGCTGCCGTCGTCTCCACCCCTCAGTTGGCGGCGACGGAAGTCCTCCTCCAGAATCTTCGTCCGCACCCACTCGAGCGTCCACAAGCTCTGGTTCTGCGGCAGGCTCAATCCGCTCGTAAATTGAAGCCACGATTCCGGCAGCAGCGAGAGCATCTTCAAGCACTTGGTCTGCTCCGGGTAGGTGATTCCCGCGGTCGCCAACTTCGCGTAGAGGTCGCGCATCTTGTCCAGGACTGGTTGCACCGGCTCTCCCTCGCTCAGGCGCAACGCGGACAGCTCCCTCTCCAGCATCAACGTTGCGACAACGGAGGTCGGGGCGTGCAGCTCCTTCAACACGGTCCACGCCTTCGGACCGCATTCAACCTCCGGCAGCAGGTGCATGACGTGGTGACGCTGGTTCAGCTCCAAACTCTGCGACATCAAATAGTAGCCAGCCGAGGAGCGCTCGTCCCAATCTTCCTGCAGCGTGGGGTCACTCGGTCTAGGCTCCTCCCCAATCATTAGTTTCAGCAAACCGATCTGACGGAAATATAATTGCATTTTCCAGGCCCAATCATCATAGCCCTCACCATTGAACTTCTCGACGGTGAAATTCTTCAGCACCTCCTTGACAAGCGAGCCCTGGTTTGTTCGCGCTCCCCTTGGCGCTGAAAGACCAGAATCTTGGCTGCCGCTACGATCTTGGGCTGAAGATTCACCAGCTCCCGCCGAGGTGTTGCCCGCCATAGCTACCTATAACGAGGATCACTATAACGCGGCTCTGATACCAGCTTGTTGGTGTAAGGGCCTAATAAACTCAAGCTATTAGGACTTAATCAAACTTAAAACCTCTCCTCGGGGTCACCTCCAAGGGTCCCTGGGTGCCTGGTACAAGACCAGCCCCTATCCTCGGGTCCGAGTTTGTAGAGAGAGGGATCAAGAAGGACTTAGTCAAAACAGCAAGAGTACCTTGAACGTCGCGCAGCGTGCCGTGCAGACCGTCGATCGGATTAAGCTGAGAATTCGCTATATCGAAGTTCGCTCCAAGAGCTTTAAAATGAGCCAAGTTGCCTCGCGAAAAGTTCTGCCATTACGAAGTTATGGCTCAGACGGTGTTTGCCTAGCATTAGAGTGCTAGCGTACTAGCGTTGACTCGGGTAGCATTCCGCCAACGAACCGCGTAGAAACGAAATTCCAGCGAGGAAGGAATTCGCTTGAATCAATTTTACTATATTCAGGTACAAACAGAGAAGGATTAAATAGTTCTAGCTAGCAAGGACCTTGGGAATCAACCTGGGAACAACCAGGGATGATCCCAAATAATTCCAAGCAACAGAACCAACCTGGCTGGACAAAATAGCAGGTGGTAGGTTGGTAAACAACCTCTGGTTCTGTTTTTCCAACCTGGGAAAACAACAACCAGGTTCAGGTTCTAAAAACAGAACCTGTTTTGTCTTTGCCCAACCAGCCAAATGCTGGTTCCGCTGGTTTCCCCTGGCCTTGTAGCATGCAGATACAGACAAACAACATCCAACCTTCACCTAAATTGTACCCCTATAGTGCCTTCCCTGCTACACTATAGTTAACCAAACAAAACAGTACAATTCCGAGTTGGATAGAACTGAATCTGCGCAATCAACTCAACCGAACTGCAAAGCTTCCATCTTGGGTTCCTTTGCGAGCTCGTCCTTTCTGCTTGCACTGTTCATAGCGCGTACAATGTTGTGCCGAAGCGCACATTGCGCGAGTACCTGCAAATGCATCAAGCGAAAAATGCGAAAGCAAACAAACACACGAACACACCATTCACACGCAAATGCATTCGCACACGCATACTCGTACAAACAGACGGCAGGATGTCGTGCAATGTGCATTTGCACCCAACACGTCCATGATCCTGCATCAGTATTGCTCCGACTGCCTGGTCACTAGCGTCTACTTCCACCACGTAGTCCTTGTCTGGGTCCAGTAGAATGAGTACTGGCGCTGTACTCAATGCTGTCTGTAGCTGCTCCATGGCTTGCTGTTGAGGAGTATCGCATTTTTACGGCGTATCCTTCTTCAGTAGGTTGGTCAGTGGCGCTGCTATCTTAGCGTACTGTGGCACAAACCTGTTGTAGTAGTTGGCGAAGCCTAGGAACTGCTGCAACTCCTTCACATTCTCAGGAACTTTCCATTTCTTGACGGCTTCCGCGGGTCCACATGTACGCCCTCCGCTCCCACCATGTGTCCGAAAAACTGCACCTTCTCTAGGGCGAAGTCGCTGTTCGACAGCTTCACGTAGAACTTATTCTCCCGCAGGATCTCGAAGACTTTCCGCAGATGCTCCATGTGCTCCTTCATTGTTTTGGAGTAAATCAGTATGTCGTCCAGGTACACTACCACGCACTTATCCAGCACGGGCCGTAGGATGTGGTTCATCTCCGCCTGGAACGTCGTCGATGCATTGCAGAGTCCGAACGGCATCACTAGATACTCGTAGGAGCCGTATCTGGTACGGAACGCCGTCTTGTGGACTAACCCGACCGTAGGTCCAGCTTTGAAAACACCGTCGCACCACGTAGATGACCTAGAAGGTCGTCTATGCGCAGTATGGGGTATTTGTTCTTGACTGTCTGTTTGTTCAGTGCCCGGTAGTCGATGCACATCCGTAAACTACCATTTGGCTAAGGAGTAAAGAGAACTGGTGCGCCGTAGGGAGAGGTGGATGGGCGGATCAGTTTTCTGTCCAGTAAAAACTCGATCTGTTTCCTCATGTCTATCATGTCGGTCGGACAAAACTGGCATGGTGCACATGAGATGGGTTTTGCACCTGGTTCTTCCACGATCTCGTGCTTCTGGGTGCGCACTAGAGGCACTCCTGCAAGTAGGGCGTCAGGCATGATGTCTTTGTACTTCTCCAACACCTCCTTTACTGCTGCAGGTAGCTCCGAGATCGGTTTTTCCTCCTCTGCTACTGCCATAGCTTGTGCTATGTAACCCGTGTTACTCTCGTTCATTGTCCGTTCAAACCGTGCAAGTGACGTTTTAGGAACATCCTCTATATACGTCCAGCTTCGCAGCTCCACACGTTTCCCGTTGTTGTAGATGCATGCCTTCCGGTTGACCCAGTCTATCTCGGGGTTGAACCGCTTCAGAAAGTCACGCCCAACCCAAGACGAAATATAATCCCTTGATGTTTGTGATCGGGAACGTCGGCTTCCACCTCAACGCCCCTATCTGCAGCTGCGATGTTGACTCGCCGTAGATGGGAAGCTTCGTACCGTCCACCATCGTTGCTGTAAACTGGGTTGTCTTTGATGTCTCTCAAATTTTTTCCAACGTCACGCTGTCGCATTCTGAGTGGAATGCACCACTGTCCACCAGTGTCAACACAGCAAAGCTATCGTACTCTCACAAACAGGCCATTCGGTCCAACTGATTCACTGGATCAACAGGTCATTCGGTCCAACCGATTTTCTAGACCAACGGGCCATTTGGTCCAACCGGTCCACTGTATCAACAGGCCAGTAGGTCCAACCGGTCCATTGGACCAACAAGCCAGTTGGTCCAACCGGTCCACTGGACCAACACGCCAGTTGGTCCAACCGGTCCACTAGACCAACAGGCCAGCTGGTCCAACCGGTCCACTGGACCAACACGCCAGTTGGTCCAACAGGTTTATTGGACCAACAGGCCAGTTGGTCCGACCGGTCCACTCTACCAACTAGCCAGTAGGTCAAACCGGTCCACTGAACCAATAGGCCAGTTGGTCCAACCGGTCCAGTAAACCAATAGACCAATTGGTCCAATTGGTCCACTTAACCAACAGGCTAGTTGGTCCAACCGATCCACAAGACCAACAGGCCAGTTGGTCTAACCGGTCCACTGGACCAACAAGCCAGTTGGTCCAATCGGTCCTGTGGACCAAAAGGCTAGTTGTTCCAACCGGTCTCTTGGACCAACACGCTAGTTGCTCCAACTAGTCCAATGGAACAACAGACCATTTGGTCGAATTCGTCCACTGGACCAACAGGCCAGTTGGTCCAACCGATCCACTGGACCAACAGGCCAGTTGGTCCAACCGTTCCATTGGACCAACAGGCCAGTTGGTCCAACCGGTCCACTGGACCAACAGGCCAGTTGGTCCAACGGTCCACTGGAGCAACAAGCCAGTTGGTCCTACCGGTCCAGTGGACCAACAGGCTAGTTGGAACAACCGGTCCACTAGATCAGCTGGCTAGTTGGTCCAACCGGTCAACTTGACCAAAAGGCTAGTTCGTCCAACCGGTCCATATGACTAATAGGCCAATTGGTTTATCCGATCCACTGGACCAAAAGGCCAGTTGGTCCAACCGGTCCACAGGACCAACCGATAGGCCATTTGGTCCAACCAGTCCATTAGACCAAAAGGCCAATTGGTCAAACTGGTCCACCGGACCAATAGGCCAGTTGGTCCAACCGCTCAAGTGGACCAACAGGCCAGTTGCTCCAACCGGTCCACCGGATCAAGAGGCCAGTTGGTTCAACCAATCCATTGGACCAACAAGCCAACTGGTCGAACCGGTCCACTGGACCAACACGCTAGTTGGTCCAACCGGTCCACTGGATCAACAGGCCAGTTGGTCCAACCGGTCGACTCAACCAATAGGCCAATCGGCTGGTCCAACCGGTCTAGTGGACCAACAGGCCAGTTGGTCCAACCGGTTCATTGGACCAACAGACCATTTTGTCCAACAAGTCCACTGAATCAACAGGCCAGTTGGTCCAACCAGTCCACTGGACCAACAAGCCTACTAGTCGAACCGGTCCACTGGACCAACACGCCAGTTGGTCCAACCGGTCCACTAGACCAACAGGCCAGTTGGTCCAACCGGTCCACTTGACCAACAGGCCTATTGGTCCAACCGCTCAAGTGGACCAATTGGCTAGTTGGTTCAACAGGCCTATTGGTCAAACAGGCTCAATGGACCAAAAGGCAAGTTGGTCCAACCGGTCCACTAGACCAACAGGCCAGCTGGTCCAACCGGTCCACTGAACCAACAGGCCAGTTGGTCCAACCGGTCCACTCGACCAACAGGCCAGTTGGTCCAACGGGTCCAATTGACCAACAGGCCATTTTGGTCCAACCGGTCCAGTGGACCAACAGGCCAATTGGTCCAACCGGTCCACTGGACCAACAGGCTAGTTGGTCCAACCTGTCCACATGACCAAATGGCCAGTAGGTCCAATCAGTCCACAGGACCAAAAGACCAATTGGTCCAAACGGTCCATATGACCATTAGGCCAATTGGTCCAACCGTTCCATAAGACCAAAAGGCTAATTGGTCTAATCGGTCCACTTGACCAACACTCCAGTTGGTCCAACCGCTCCACTGGACCAACGGGCTGTTGGTCCAACAGGCCTAATGGTCAAACAGGATTAATGGACCTAAAGGCCAGTTGATCCAACAGGCTAGTTGGTCCAACCGGTTCATTGGACCAACAGGCCAGTTGGTCCAACCAGTCCACTGGACCAACAGGCCAGTTAGTCCAACCGGTCCACTGGACCAACAGGCCAATTGGTCCATCCTGTCCAATGGACCTACATGCCAGTTGGTCCAGCCGGTCCACTGGACCAACAGGCTGTTATAGTCACAGTAGGCTCCAATGTGCCTAAAACGAAAGATAGAGTGCACAGTCGGATTTCTGCACAGCGGCTTTAAACAATCATAGCGATCTGCTCACAACTCCAATTGACCTCATTCAACTTGGATCTGGAGCGTCTTAACGTCGCCTACAACAGGCAATTTAGATCAACAGGCAACTTGTGGGGTGCAAATGCACATTGCACGACATCCTGCCGTCTGTTTGTACGAGTATGCGTGTGCGAATCCATTTGCGTGTGAATGGAATGTTCGTGTGTTTGTTTGCTTTCGCAATTTTCGCTTGATGCATTTGCAGGTACTCGCGCAATGTGCGCTTCGGCACAACATTGTATGCGCTATGAACAGTGCAAGCAGAAAGGACGAGCTCGCAAAGGAACCCAAGATGGAAGCTTTGCAGTTCGGTTGAGTTGATTGCGCAGATTCAGTTCTATCCAACTCGAAATTGTACTGTTTTGTTTGGTTAACTATAGTGTAGCAGGGAAGGCACTATAGGGGTACAATTTAGGTGAAGGTTGGATGTTGTTTGTCTGTATCTGCATGCTACAAGGCCAGGGGAAACCAGCGGAACCAACATTTGGCTGGTTGGGCAAAGACAAAACAGGTTCTGTTTTTAGAACCTGAACCTGGTTGTTGTTTTCCCAGGTTGGAAAAACAGAACCAGAGGTTGTTTACCAACCTACCACCTGCTATTTTGTCCAGCCAGGTTGGTTCTGTTGCTTGGAATTATTTGGGATCATCCCTGGTTGTTCCCAGGTTGATTCCCAAGGTCCTTGCTAGCTAGAACTATTTAATCCTTCTCTGTTTGTACCTGAATATAGTCAAATTGATTCAAGCGAATTCCTTCCTCGCTGGAATTTCGTTTCTGCGCTATTCGACGGCGGAATGCTACCCGAGTCAACGCTAGTATGCTAGCACTCCAACGCTAGGCAAACGCTCTCCGAGCCATAACTTAGTAATGGCAGAACTTTTCGCGAGGCAACTTGGCTCATTTTAAAGCTCTTGGAGCGAGCTTCGATATAGCGAATTCTCAGCTTAATCCGATCGACGGTCTGCACGGCACGCTGCGCGACGTTCAAGGTACTCTTGCTGTTTTGACTAAGTCCTTCTTGATCCCTCTCTCTACAAACTCGGACCCGAGGATAGGGGCTGGTCTTGTACCAGGCACCCAGGGACCCTTGGAGGTGACCCCGAGGAGAGGTTTTAAGTTTGATTAAGTCCTAATAGCTTGAGTTTATTAGGCCCTTACACCAACAAGCTGGTATCAGAGCTGCGTTATAGTGATCCTCGTTATAGGTAGCTATGGCGGGCAACACCTCGGCGGGAGCTGGTGAATCTTCAGCCCAAGATCGTAGCGGCAGCCAAGATTCTGGTCTTTCAGCGCCAAGGGGAGCGCGAACAAACCAGGGCTCGCTTGTCAAGGAGGTGCTGAAGAATTTCACCGTCGAGAAGTTCAATGGTGAGGGCTATGATGATTGGGCCTGGAAAATGCAATTATATTTCCGTCAGATCGGTTTGCTGAAACTAATGATTGGGGAGGAGCCTAGACCGAGTGACCCCACGCTGCAGGAAGATTGGGACGAGCGCTCCTCGGCTGGCTACTATTTGATGTCGCAGAGTTTGGAGCTGAACCAGCGTCACCACGTCATGCACCTGCTGCCGGAGGTTGAATGCGGTCCGAAGGCGTGGACCGTGTTGAAGGAGCTGCACGCCCCGACCTCCGTTGTCGCAACGTTGATGCTGGAGAGGGAGCTGTCCGCGTTGCGCCTGAGCGAGGGAGAGCCGGTGCAACCAGTCCTGGACAAGATGCGCGACCTCTATGCGAAGTTGGCGACCGCGGGAATCACCTACCCGGAGCAGACCAAGTGCTTGAAGATGCTCTCGCTGCTGCCAGAATCGTGGCTTCAATTTACGAGCGGATTGAGCCTGCCGCAGAACCAGAGCTTGTGGACGCTCGAGTGGGTGCGGACGAAGATTCTGGAGGAGGACTTCCGTCGCCGCCAACTGAGGGGTGGAGACGACGGCAGCAGCGGCTACGGGATGCAAGGGAGCCGACGTGGCAGAGGACGTGGCTTCGGTGGTGCTGGACGCGGTGCAAAGAAAGACGACGACTCCAACGACCAACAAGGAGGTACCGGTTGGGGTCGCGGTGCGAAATCTGGACGTGGGGGCAAGTCGGGTGCTGGTGGCAAAATGAAAGGGAGTTGCTGGTATTGTGAGAAGGAAGGGCACCCCTGGTTTTTGTGCTATAAGAAACCCGATGGATGGACCCCCCAGAATCGTCACCAGGATGGCGGCGCGCGGAGGAACCAGAAAAACGGCGCCAACATGGTCGCTGATTCGTCCGACAACAACCCGAAGGGCAACGGCGGTGC